CTTTTTCTTGCTTCACCATTGGTACTAGTGCATAAGCAGAGAGACCAGGACCACCAAGAGGGATCTGTCAAATGCAGGATGCCTTGGAGTAGTTATCTAAAATTATTCCATTAGATGCTATTACAAAATACTTGAGACATCAATGCATTGCATAAGATGCGAAGGTTTCCACCACATGGCAGTATACACTACAGCTGAGGGCCACTGTGGAGCAGCCCCTTTGCATTTCACTGGAGATGTGCAGATCTTGATCCTGGAAAGCTCCGGTGGGGACTGGGTGGATTTCACAGTCCATTCAAGCGATAAACACAGCCCAGCATCAGCAGAAGTGTTTCCTGAGCTGTGAGGTATAGTTCATTTTCTTGCTACACCAGCACCATATAAGCAGCATGAAGAAAAGTTATCACATGGGAAGGACAGTGTCAGCCTCCCACGACCCCTCCCAGGTGGGGTCTCGCTGCGATGCTGGGGTGGCCCAGAGCAGCTGCACCATGCCGAGATCTCCCCCCGGGGAGATGTTTAATATTATTATTACTAATGTATTAGTAGTGGTACTATGGAGCAAGCAGCTGTGAGGTTCATCCAAAAATCTGGATATTGCTGGCAACTGCAACCTGAGACATCTGTGCGCCAAGTTTGTGTATTTACATGAGCCAGCGCAGCTCCATCTATAACCTTTTCTTCCTCTTTTAAATATTATTTCTTATTTCTCCTGAAAGATTCATTATAGCGAAGGACTGCAGCACAATTAAATGTACCTTTTTTTTTTTCATTTATTACTAATATTCCAAACGGTAGTATATCAGCAAACTGAATGTTCTAGGAGATAAGCACAGATGAAATCATGTATCAGCCCTGGTAGAAGTCATGCGAATTGAGTTATTTAGTTATTAGTTTGGGTGGAAAATTCTATTTCATTAAAGCCTTTGAGATCTTTAAATTCTATTTTCATTCTCCAGAGGGATGAAAATAACTTCTCAAATATTTTCACAAAAATGGAATTGTTGAAATGGCCTTGTCTGCCAGCTGCACTTTCCTAAATGTATTATATACTGACCTGAAACATGGTACACCTCCATGTAATCTCTGTTCTGCCTGACAAAGAGCAAAGATCTCAGTCATAGATCATTCTGAGCTTGGAGTAGGAACTAAACCTGGGTCTAAGCTAATCTCAGAAACTTCAGAGAAATAGGAGGCTTCTCTTGCTCTGCCTTTTGACTTATTTTCGTTGTGATGAAAAAAGCAACAGTGGCTGGGCACACAAAGCACACCGCCAGGCTGCAGAGAAATTGCTGCAAGAAAATGTGTTATTTGTAAAAATGCCAAAATACATTACAGAATGCCAGAATATTTTCATTCAGATTTTTTTATAAGTTTTAACGTATTTGCTTCATTTGAAAAATCAAGGGAGTACTCAAATTTTTCCAAACACAGAAATACTAACCCATTGCACCCATTTGATAACCTAGGCAGGGTACGAGTTAGCAGTTCAAGGACCAAAGGGGACTACCGTTGACACCAAAATGTGCAAAGCCCTCAGCAGCATTGGCGGGGCAGGGGTTCAGAGGCAGCCTCTTAGCGACCCCCAGGACACAACTGTCCCAGGGGAAGAGGCGGCAGCCGGGGTGTGCACTGGGTACAGAGCGTGCTGCGGCTCAGCCCTGAGCCCTGCTCGGCTGTGGATCAGCCGATGAGCAATTGCTTTGTACTCTCAAGTCACATAAACATATTTGTTTGATTTTTGCTTGGTTTCTGCTTGGGTTTTTTACATGCCTTTTCTTTGTCTGAAATGCTAACAGTTAGTCCTGTCTTTAGTGTGCAAAGAAAAGCAAATCAAAATAAAACCAAGTTAGATGTATGGGGCTCTAAGCAGTAGCCACACTGGCAGAAATATTTGAGATGATGCTCACGAAATACTTCTCTACAGGGCATGGGAGGCTGGACCCAGTTGGCCTCTTCTGCAATCAGTGGAAAAGCTCATTCACATCAGCAAGTGCAGGTTTGATCTTTCTGCATCCATGTCTTCATCCTCAGTGTTTACCGGTTTGTGCTGGGTGGCTGTGGGAGGAGGCGAGCCCCCAGAAATGGGACTCACGGAGCTCCCTCCAGCACCGCCGGTGCCACCTTCGCTCCTCTGCCGTCAGTCCTCCTGTCCCAGAGAGGAGGGGGAAACCCCAAAGGGATATTGCTACTTTTTGTTGTCAAATAAAAGCATTTTCTGGTGGTGAGTGTTGCAGAGGAAGAAGAGATTCAAAATTACATTTTGAATGGGGTTTTGCTGGGTTTTGCAACGAATACAGCGTAGCCCTTCCCCAGTGCTGCACAGGACAGGTTCACTGCAGGGCTGTATGGTCTCTGCCAGATTTGCTCCCTGCTGTGCTGCCAGCTCTCGCTGCTGCAAGGGCTAATCCTAACCAGTGACACAGAAAGAGCTCTTTACTTTGGGCAGCACCTTATTTATACTGTAAAGGAGCATTGTTGCTTTTAGTTATTTTTTGTGTGTGTGATGCTTTGCCATGAGAAACGATGCAAAAGTTTGTTTTTCTGTTTAATACTCCAACAGTGCATCTTTTGCAAGTGGTGGCAAAACAGCATGTGGATACCCATGGATTCAGATGTTTGGGTGGGACTCTTTTTTCCTTTGTTTTGCTTTGTTTGGTTTTCACCAAGCTTTAAAATGTTTTTGTATAAGAGGCTGGTTAAACTGCAGGCTAATAACTTAGTTGTCTTGGTTAGACGTGCAGGTACCTCTGTGGCTCGTTATTTATTTATAAACTTGCCATCTCTGCTATAAAAAGATTTGTAATACCCAATAATAAATGCATTCATCATGACATCTTCTGTAATCACTACAGTTCCTGAGCTGCTATTTGGCACTCATTAGCTGAAACTCCCATTCACCTATAATTTATGAGAAGCATACAATTATGTGTTATCACTACTTCAAGTGATTACTACACTGTATGTTTTTAAGATAATGGAATGAAACACTCCATGATGAATTACACCTCTCTAGGTAGCTTTGCTTCTGTCATTAACTCTATTATTTTACTTAAACCAACCTGGAGAGAATTGCGTTACAGGTTTGGTATTACTTTCTCAGAGAAGAGTCCCAGGTCAATACTGATCCAATAAAGGACATGACACAGCACACAGTTATCTCCCACCTTCTGTGTCCTATCTACTCATAAGGAAATCCTAATATCCAACTTGTTTTCACTTGCAAAGAATGTTTTTTCATTTTGCCTTGTTAGTGAAAAAAACCTATTCAAGGAAGAACGTGAAACATAAAACCCGAATATTAAGAAATCCCTGGAGCCCGGGCAGCTGCAGCCTGTGTGACTGCTCTGCCTGGAGAAGGGAAAGGTGAAGTTATCACAGCTCTGCTGTGGAGCAGGAGCACCCACGCCTTTGCTTGTAGACATTTTTTCCTCACTATGTTTGATGCATTTTATACTTAACAGCTGAGCAGGTAGAGACATTCTCACTGTTGCATTGATTCTGCAGGCAGACATCATAAAATTTCCCGACGTTAGGAGGCAATGCAGTAGTTAGCAGGTTCACAGTACTGTATGGTCCCAGTGGCCAACCTCGCAGCAGAAGGGAGTCTGCAGTATCGGGAGAAACAGTTGAGGCAGCCAAGGAAGCCAGGACAGCCTCCTCGCCAGCAGAAGGGAATCTCCCACCCCTTGTCAAGCTGCTGATAACGGGGTCTCTGGGCAGCGTGACGTGGAGAATCACCTAACAGAGCACAGATCTAGGGGTTTTTCCTACATTTTTCTTTTATCTCCAGTTTTCTCCTAGACCAAGCTGGTAGGGGCTGCTCTCTGCTCCCCGGGTGCAGGCGATATCCACTGCTCGCATCCTGTCTCACTCTTTACTGTAATGTGCTGCAGCTGGTGCGAGCCCCGCATCGCCACGATGCTGTATTCATTATCAAATTACAGCATTTATGTGGATGTTGAGTATAACAGCCATCCAACATTCATTATTTTATCCTGAGTGCGCATTACTGTAATAGCCTCCCGTTGTAAGCCCTCATTTTTTTGTCAGAGCTTATTGTGTCAGTGAAGAAACCTTTGTTTCATTTTAGCATTAAAAATAAAGACTAATGTAACTGTTCTGAAACCGAAATAAATGCAGTTAATTAGTATCATCACTGTTTTAATTCAGTTACATATTTCTGGATGATAAAATCCTTTAATAACATGCTGTGATATTGAAAATTTGGAAAGTAACATGGTATGTTCACGGACCCAATGTTTTCTCATTCTCTAGGTATGATCCTTTGCCTTGCCATGGTCTCAGAGGTTATGTTGCTTTTTATTCCTTTACTTTGTGTTTCAGTGTCGTGTGTCAAAAAAGCAGGGGGAAAAAATTGCCATCTGGGTAGGCTTTCACCATCAGAAGAAACAGCTGACTTATCTATTCCTATAAAATAAACATGATTAGCTCTTGAATTTTCAAAGACCTCTATCCCTTAAGAAAAGTACAAAATAATAAAGACAAAACCATGCAGTGAATTGTTTCCTTACTTTTCTGCATTGGCAATTTCTTCTTCATAATTTCTGGAAGTCAGTGTTTCTGTATCATAAATCTTTAGGAATCAATAAATATCAAATGCAGCAGCCAGCCCCTTTTTAATATTTCAAATAATATGATTAAGCTGGGAGTAACTCTCTGAAAATGAAACAAAGACTATCAGAACCAATAATATTTTGTGATATTGTTTCTGAGCCTTCAAAGAGAAAATATTATGTGCTTCCATGAAATAAGTAATTAATAACTAATATTTCTTAGCTTTACACTATACTGTTTTGTTCATTTTAATATGAAAATATATCTGCGAAAAGGGGTGGGAATATTTTTGTATAAATAAAAACAACAAATGAATTTATTGCAGTTGTAATACTCACAGCTTCTCTGTCCTTGCCATGGAAAAAAACCACTTCTTTGTGGCAGGGGGGAAATACACATTATGGTAATGGCTGGTTGTTATGATGAATGTTAGAGGCCAGGAAACCCCTGTGAAAGTGGTCTTTCGCCTGGCTTGGATGGATTGGCAGGTACTGAGGTTGAAACCCATACAGATTAAAATTCAAATAACATCAGCTGTAGAGCAAATTACATTTAAAATCTTGTAGAAGAGTAAACACTTTTGCTGTTAATTTACTAATATTTTACTGATTTTCCATTTTAAATGTTTCAGATTTAGGGATTAATCCATGTTTTATCTGCAGACAGATTTCCTAGAATATCTTAAAGCATCCCAAGGTAGAAAAGTTTATAAAATCAAGAAGCTGGAGATGTGTAATGAAGAAGATATATTCTGCTTTCTCTTCCAGTCGTTTCGTCCTGCTTTCTCTCCCAGCCTTGTCTTTTGTTTCAAACACAGGCTGGCAGGTACCTGGCAACTTTGTCATGGCCAGCTATAGAGCAAAAAATCTGATGAGTTCTCATGGTTAATAAACTACACGTCAATTCTCTGGAACGGTGGAAGTGGCATAGGAACAGATCAGGGAGGTTAATTATGCTAATTACTCATGAAAATTCAGGTAGCACGTATCCCCATTTATTTCAGGCAGTTTGCCAGATAAAAAGCTCATACTTTTTTCTGCTCCTTTTGGAAAAGTCCACGGGTCAGCAAATATTTAAAGAATTATCTTGGTTTCTCCCTAAGTTTGCAGATCTCCAGTTCTGAGCTGCTATTTTAGAAAGCAATGTAATGGACTGCTGAGAATTGCAGAAAATAGAGGGTAGTAGGTTTGGAAGAACTTCTTTATTTAAAGGAGGTAATTACAAATAAGTGCATTGATATGGTGCTACATGAATTATTCGACTGCAAACACTGGGTAAAATATCTCAGGCGTGTCTTGTCTGTTCAGCTTGAAAGGGGAGGAGATGCTATGACATCGTTATCTTCTTTGCTGTCAGTGCAACAGATTAGTCTGCTATTTGCCCGAAGATGCCTTGGAGCAGAGGCTGTGGGAGGGACAAGGCAATGCTGGAGACTCGGTCATCCCCCCGCACTGTGCTGGTAAGAGCAAGAAAGGTTTTCCTGGAGGGATCCCCCCTGGGTGGCTTTCCCCTGCCGGAGCAGCTGCAGAGGGACCGGTCTCCTGTGGTATCTCCTTGCTGGTGCTTGGAGGGAGACTGGTTTTGGAGACTTTCCATCCTGTATAGGGTAGACACGCTGCATGTTTTGAACCTGAAGAGAAAACTTGCTCCAAAAAAGGATTTGGTACCAACTACAGTTCATGGTGCTTAAAAAGCAGAACGTATGCAGAGGAAAGATCAAAGGAAAAAGGCTCATTTGTGCATGTTAACACCTCGATGTATAATCAGAACTCCTTCTGCCACTGACATGAAAAGACAAAGAACAACGGAAAACTTGGGACTTGCTGGATGAAGAGAAGGAAAACTGGTACCAGGGTGGGAGGAAGGAGAAAGGGTTTGGCAGCCAGGCAGATGAAGGGGTGGTGGGAGCAGAAGCTGTGGTGGACATGGTGATGTGGTGGCGCCAGGGCACGTGTGGAGAGGAGGTAGGATGCTGGGAGTGGGGTTCATAGGGGAAAAAAGCAGAGTTTGCAGTGTTCGCAGGACCTACATTAAATGCTGCAAAGTTCACAAATGTTTGCTGTCAGCTGGTGGCTGTGTAGAGTGAAAGAAACTGAAAGCTATATTTGATCCATTAGCACCACTTTTCTTTAATCCTGACTTGTCTGGTGCTGTTTCAGAAATGCAGCACACAAGAATTTGCAGTGGGTTTGGTATTTGCTGTGAGCAGGGGAGGGCAGGCGGCTCAGCACCTGGGGGTGAATTGGTGCTGGAAAGGTGCATGTTCATATAAAGAAACCTCATCACATCTCAGCTGAGTGCTGCTGTCATTCTTTAAACATTTTTAAAAGTAGATCTAAGGACTTCGACATACAATGGAGATGCCAGGCAAAGCAAAGCCAGTTATTTATTTTAGATCTTTTTTGGCTGCTGTGAGAGTTTTGGGGGTCTGATTTTAAGCTCTGTTTTAAAACAGCTGCTTGTCTCCCCTGTTTTACATAACTCCTGTTTATCAGACTTTCCAGAAACTAACTGTGTAGATTTCTGTCCCATTCACGACAGAAGAGTCTCCCTCTGCAGGATAATTTAACATTTGCATGTTTCATAAATAAATAGTGTTGCTTCTTGGGGGGCGGGAAGTCTTCCTAAGATTAAGACTTTTAAACTCTCTTAAGTCTTTTTTGTTATTAATATCCTGTATGCCTTGCTTCCTGGGTGCAATTCCTCTGTAATTTTTAATGCTTGCTACACTTCAGAGATCATTTAGCTCCAGCAGTTGCAGCTGAGTGCTGGCCAAGTCTTCTCCACAAGCAACCTCCCAGTCCTTGTGTTCACTCTTCCAGGCCTGGCAGTGGGTAGCACAGGTTAACTCCCTGAGAAAATGGTGAAACTGGGTCTGCAGCATCTTTACACACTGGATATACTGAGCTTGTGCTGGCACATGCGCTGTTGGGGGCAGCTGGGCGTGGATCTCGAGCTTCAGGCACAGAGGCAGATGGGGCTTGGCGTGCACCAGCCAGGTCACCGGCCATTGATGCATTACCTCCCTGATGGTCTGAGACTGTTCTGTAAATAAAATTTTAAAAAAGCTGTGATGATAATGAGCAGCTGTGCATTTTACTATGCAGAATTCCATGCTTTGAGCTATAGTAGACATGAGAAAACCAATTTTGATCACAAAAGTAAAAGGATCACCTATAATTGCATCTGAGTTATTTTTATTTTTCAGAGAAGTTTCCTTAGTGTAACAAACTTTTAAGATGTTATTCATAAGAATCCATGGAGAACCTGGAGAAGACATTTATCAGATCACCAGTAAAAGGACTTTGCAAAAGTTCTTAGCAGGTTTCTGGTGTGATTTTCTTGTTCCGGAGCTTGGATGTACCATTTTATGTTCTGAGCTTCTGGGTGTTTTTCTAGGCTGAACTCTGACCCTCGTGTTTCTCTCTCCCCTTGCTGCTTAGCTCAAAGCCAATCTCCTTTAAAACAGAAAAATTTTAGCAACACTGTTTTTTGCAAAGGTTTTCTATGTTCTGAGGAAAGTGGCTATAACTCAATGCCAAAACCAATTTCACAGGAAAAAAAGATGCCGTAGTAAGCAATAACAACTCCGTTAAGTGCTTCACATCTGCTTTGGTGAACACTCACCCACTGCAGGGTGATGGAAAGGGGATGCTGTCATCCCTTGTGGGTGTTACAGTCAGCTCCTCCAGCACCCAAAGCACCAGTTATATAAAACTGTAAAAATTTTCAAGTCAAATTCTTCTAGGTTTTCAGGGAAAAGAAAGGATTCCAGGACTTTCTGTAAATGAGATGGAACTTTTAACCTGAACTACAATGGGATTACTGGTTTTAGAGACACAGCCTGCTCAGAAATGAGTCATGTTCTGACCTGGAATATGTGTCTTACCATTTAGAGGATGTGTTTTATGGAGGAAGCACCTCACAGTGTGTCACTTGGTGTCTCCTCTAAGTCAGAGATGTGTTCTGAATGACTCTGCAGCTGGGCAGTGCAATAGCCCCCGGCTGGCATTTCCCGGCCGGACAGCTTTCCCGCGGCTCCTTGTGCTCACCTCCCACAGTCCCACCTGAGGAGGGAGCAGAGCAGAAACAGATGAGGTGGGAGCACTAAATGGAGCCCCATGGGGCTGAATGGGTGTATTTAAAAAGTTGTATGGGTTGAATTTACCTGCAGATTAATAAGACAGTTTTTAACTTACTTATCCTTTTAGCTTTGCAGCCCAGGTCAAGGAAGAAGTTGCACAAGAAGTGAGGATAATGGTAGCTTTAGGTCCTACTTGAGTAAAGATTTTTTTTCATTTTAAGTACTGCCCAAGTACTATCCAGGTGTAACCCCAGACAGTGTATTGAAGGCTGTTTGGAGACAGGTGTATGCAAATATTCATGTGATATATGGAACATAGAAAGCTTTTTGTGCAATCCCATGCAGTTTGTTTCAAGGGCAGTAAGGTAGGAGCTCCAACCCTGGCTGCACTATGAAGGCTCTTGTAAAAAGAGGCCATGTGCAGTTTTAATTAAGCAACTGAGAAGACCAGTTTTTTACAAAGATTAATAGGTCTATGTTTTAATTATTGGGAAATAAAAGACTAGAGAGCGAGAAAAGTGGGAGGTATCAAAAAGAGAGGATAAAAACTTTAAGGAAGATGGGTGAGATTATATTTTTCTGCACTTGCAAATTACAGAAGATCATCCCCATTAATAATGACTGGAAAAATAATAAAATACCTTCAGCCATATCTGACTGTTAACATTAAAATCATATGGATAAAATAAAAAAGCATTTTTTATGCTTGTTGAGTAGAGAATTTCTGATTACAATCATCAGTTAAAAAATGAATTGTTCTTTTTTCCAATCTTCCAAGTTTAAAAATAGAAGAATTATCTTCAGACATCAGCTATAGTTTAATCAATACTTTTCCAAGCAATGTAAAGGTAAAAAGAGCAAAAGTTGCTTTTATTTAATGATTGTTATGCTTTCTTTAATTGTGCTACAGTGTTATTATTAACTTCTCAAAATAATTGGTCCTATGCATAGATTTTAAAAATTACATTGCAGAAAATGCTGCCATGATGCGCAGGAAGTTTAAAAATAAACAAAATATAAGGAAAGAGAGGAAAGGGGGAAGAGAGGGAAGGCCACTAATATTTGTAGTTTCTACTGGTTGTCATCTTTTCAATAAATTATTTTCCATACATTACTGTAAGAAATGTTTTATTGTTGGACTTCATTAAACATCAGTGTGCTTTCACTTGAATTGTCCACCAGTGATCGGCGGTGATTGACCACAGCTCCCGCAGTCCTGATGCTGACCTCTGGCAGAAGCAACTGTGCACCTTCAATAATGTGATCCCACAGGGATTTGTGTGTGCTGATCTAGAACTGTGCATTGATCTGGTGTCATTATTCAATACATTTATGACACTTACAACTAGGAGAATTTGAAGAAGAGTTGGGCACTTAGCTTGAGGCTCAGATTCATCCTAAGGGAACTGCAGTGGAAGGCTGCCAGCTCTTCATAGGTTCACATGAAATCAAAACTCTTCTCAAACTCACTTCTCAGGTTTGCTGAAAACTTGTGTTTAAGTTCCCTGAAATGTTTGGAAGACTTAATGGGCAAATCGTTCCAGAGTGCAAACCCAAATTTTAAGTTTTTAGTAGAACTTAGTTTGGTGATTCCTCTTTTAGGGTTTGTAACATATTTTGCTCAACTAGACTGCTGCAGTCTTAAGGAAATAGAGGTTTTCATGGAGGACTTTGGTTAGCATTGTCCTGTGCACGTGCACCCCAGGCGCAGAGCATGGGCACTGCACCGCCTGGCTGAGGTGCACACCAGCACGTGCACAGCGAGGGGCAGCTGGGGCACGTGGACCCAGCTGGGTTCAGCTGGGTTCCCGGTAGTTCTCACTGGTTTCCTTTGCGAGGTCTTGTCTCTTTATAGCGGCCTTTCCTCCCCAGTCCTCACTCACAAGACGCCTGGGTTGTTGCCGAGCGTGCCCCGATCCCTGCCAGTGCACTGGCATGGAGAGGGATATGGACAGGGAGAGCATGCACATGCAGCAAGGCAATTCGTCTTCTTGTAGGAGCTGAACCATTGCAGGGTTTCAGTCAAAAGAGCCAATGTGTTTCCAGATATGTTCATGTTCATGCAATGAAAATAATACATAGTTATCACTTATTATCTGCAGTTTAAAAAATAATATTAAAATACCGTTCTTAGTTAAAATGAAGAAGTGCATCCAGAGATCAAGTATGTGAGAAATACAATTGTAGGGAGAAATGCAAAGGTTGTGTAAAAGATCGGTTGTGGTATTGCAGTCTGAGTCCCTGCGCACTGGTTGGAACCCATGGGCTTGCTTGAGGCCGGTATTTTTGTTGTTCTCAGTGTTTATTCTTTGTAAATGTTCATCCGTATAAAATTGGTTGATTATGTCACACCAAACATGTGGAAAGACTGCTCTTTCATAGAAAATTTTAAAGATATGGGAGGAAAAAAAGACCAAACCTTCATTTAAAGGGGAAAAAATCCTTATTTGTCCTTATTTCTGTTCCTCTGCAATAACTACAGTGCAGAATCATTGCCTCCAATGGCCAGGAACACACATGGGTGAATGCATGGTCCAAGTTGCCTGCAGAATACTTTTAAGCAACAACCGCGTTTTCAGAAATGAGAAGTGATTTGCAAACAGAAAGGGATTAAATTTGTTAGATTGGAAAACATTTCTGAGATTAATCATTTGATTGCTTCTTCCATGGAGTAAATATGCACTTTATCCATTGCATCTCACGTGCATAGTGGGAAAACACAGCATGTTGGCTGCTATTTAATTTGAAGGCTGTCCTGTGCAAAATATTTCAGCCAAGTTCTGCAACATTTTCAAATCAGTTCACTCCCACAGTGTTAGGGAACTTGCATGAGTTTTGAATAAAGGTAGAGAAAAGGCTGCTTTAGGGTATTGAAAGAGCTTGGCTGAGGTAAAATATTTAACCCGTTTTCAAAGAACCTTATTTGGAATACCATTTTTAGTTTGAAGCCAACATTATTCCACAATATAACATGGTTAGTCAGGGTCTGAAGAAAAAACTGAAATGTTTTCTCCTAGTTACATTTTTAGAAATAACTTTTGTGATTTTGTTTTCATCAAACTTGAAAATCTCCCTGAACAAGTAAAAATCTGTTCCATTTTTAGTCCTTGGTTTTCATGACTTATACAGCAGTTGTATACTGCATAGTTTTTGTTAATTAGTGGGGTATAAAAGAAAGTTGATTTTAGCAGGTTTTCATCTCTATCCATGATAACCATGCACCTAGAAATTAATAAAGCAAAATTTCTTATTTGTTTTAGTAAGTTATTTTAAGAAAATACGTTCGTATTCAAGTAAAACAGCAAGAGGTCTCATATTCCTTTCTGCGCTGCTGGATCTTGCCTTTTCTCAGCAAGAAAACCTTGATATCAAAAGGGCTGTGTTTATATGAGAAGTTTTTGGGAACCTTTGCAGCTTTCAGAGCAGATGCCATGCAGAAGCTGTGAGGATGCTTTGGAGCTGCTGCAACAGCAGCCCCGAGCACTGCCCTTCTCAGCATGATTTTCAGGTGGTTCACTTTGCATCTGATGAGAATTCCACTTTTGTCTTTAATTAATAACCAAAAATTTAAACTTTTTTTTTTTTAAGCAAGGCTTATTTTTTTCTTACAAGCTGCAGAGAGCAGGGAATTTGTAAGGCGAGGCTGGTTTTGTGTGCTGGGAGAGGAGAAGGCTGGTTTTCTCTCTTGTGGGAAGAAGCCATAGTGCTAACGCTTTCTTGCATGTTTTTGGATGTATGTGTATAAACAACGAGGGAGTTAAGTAAAATGGTAAACAGTCACTGAAACTACAGGCTACCTTCAAAAATATTCATTTATAACTGACTGTATCCAGCTGCTGCAGAAATACCAGTAGAAAAGAGACGCATTGTAGAAAAAGTCAGTCAATCTGAGGTTTCTCTGCTTCTCCCCAGTCTTCTGTTCATTAGAATCCATTTGAAAATGTTCGTAAGACTTTGAAAGCAGCTTCTTGCCTTCTCCGAATGGGACCAGATCCTACAAAGCTCCTCCTGCAGGGATTCACAGACATCTGCTGCGCTCTCCATCCTCAAAGTGATACTTCCCCGTGACATCCCAATTCTCTGCTATATAAACTGTGATTTTTTATCCTGTATCGTATGCAGCTTCTCTCAGAACCCTTTCACATTTCATGTTGAGATCATTAATTAAATGAATGAATAGTTATTTTCACGATCCATTTCTGAAGAATTTCAGCCTGATGCTTCTAGTTTCTTATTCCTAAGGGGAATGCCATTTTTCCCCTTAAACAATACCACCATATGCTTAAGGTACGAAATCACCATTTTCTCCCACCTAAGTTTCCATAGTTGCGCTATTTTAATGTTTTATCAAAGAGATGAGATCTATTGCATTCCCTTCTTCTGATGGATTTCCTTCATGTAAAAAACCTCTTTATCAAATAAAAATGTCCCATTAGTCTGTTGCACTTTGTATTTCCTTCCTTCAACTTTTAAAGTTGTTTTAAAGCCTTAAATTCTATGTGGGCATGGTGGTTAGCCTAAAATTTGCCTGATTCACTCTCCTCATTTCCTTAAATGTAGGTAATATATTTATGATTTCCCAGTCACATAGGTTTAAAAAAACCCATATGCTCCTGGATTTACAGTTTCATGCTCTCAAACATGACTCCACTGATGTTTTTCTCTGCCCTTGACTCCATTAGCTGCTCTGCCTTTTCCTGCATGCTGGATGTCACCTTCTTTATGGAAAACTGGAGCATAGTGCTCACTTAATTTTTGAGCCATAGTTAAATATCCTTAACCTCACTGCAGACAGGCTCAGTCTTTTTCATCAGCTCATAGAAATAAAGTTCCTTCTGCATGCTTTCTCTGTCCTTTTTTCCCCTCACTTCTCAGCCACCAAGAGGGACTCTCTTTGCTGGCTGTTCCTCCTGGACACTATTCTCCCAGCCCTATTTTCCCATGCTCTCTACCCAAGCTATCACTGTTTTCTTTTGCTCAGGTCTCATCTCCTGTCTCCAGTCCTCTTTTTATGACAAACACTTCCTTGTCTATGGCAAGGTGATACTTGAAGTATCTCCAGTGTTTGTGTTCTCCTTGTATTCTCATACTTCACACAGTCCTGTGCTCTGCTGGTGTTTACTGATTTTCTTCCAATCATTATGTTTTCTTTCCTCGCTTGCTGCTCTTTCATGTGTTTTCCTGGCTGCTCACAAAAATCGTCATTCTGGCTGAAGTTCAAGAGAGCATCCCTACGCTGCCTTGCCTAGAGATTGCTTTCACTGCCAAACACTGCAAAGTAGAATATAGACTGCATTGTCCAAGCATCAGTTGACCACACAGTCAAAATGTGTAGGATTGAGGAGTCATCTCTAGTGTCCTTTCTCTCTCCTGCTCTCCCACCTGCCCCCAGTGTCACTCCCCTCTTTCCAGATGACAGAAAAGTTTGATAGTAACTCCAAAGCCATTGGTTGCATTAAAAATTGCAGCATCTCCTGGGACTATTTTTATCCTACCAGCCTGGGACCATTTTTATCCTACCAGCCTGTGTGCCACTGAGTGGCCACTCCTTTACCTCTACCAGTGACACAGGTTCCTCAGCTCTGGTACAGCTTTGCATCCTCTGGCATCACCCTGTTCCCCCCGGCCACTGCTCTGCCCATCCGAGGTTCAGGAGCGCCACACTCTCACACCAGCACCGGCTCACCTCTGTGGGGATCCCACCCCAACAAACGTCTGCTTTCCTTCTTATTTACTTAATTGTGCTAAGAAGTACCATCAACATTATTCACCAGCTTCTTACTGCTTTTTCCACAAAGTTTTAGTAATTGCACTTGATGCCGTGCTATCCTTAGGACTTGTCAGTGACATTTAACGGTATCCTTCACAGTGCAGTTCTCCTCATCCCAGTGTGCAAGTGAGCAACTTAAGATGGAAAGCTATTTTAAAGAGAAATTAGAAAAGTTTCCTAAATGCAATACAAAATATTGACAACCGCAACATATTGCAGTGCCTAATTACCTTAGTAGAAGGTTATACTTCTGTCACGCCTGGGTGGCTTTTTTTTTGGTTGCATATCTACAGAAAAGATTTTCAATTAACATTGCCCTTTAATACTCTGACTGGTTTTTGAATCTACAGATGGTGAAACAGACTACAAATTAGATTTTGCAATATACCTTGTTCTTTGTATTTCTCAACTGATTAGTTTCAGACAGTTTGCAGTTCCTACACTGGTGTGTTCAGCTCGCAATTCCCTCGCAATCTCCAGTGCCATGTTCAAACCCCCAAGATATTGTGTAGAAATGCTGTCAAACTCTTCAGATGTACATGTTTTCATTCTCCAGCTGGACTTTTTACTCATTTTAAAAAAACAAAGTATTTACTTTATGGAGGAATACTTTTGAACTAAAATTTAGAAGGAAAGGAATGTCTGGGGTACATCTGCTTCTGATTTTAGGGGTGTTGTTATGCACTGAGCTCTGATTAAGGTGACTATTATACCCTGAAAAGCACTATTTTTAGTTATCGTTCTAATAATAATTGTAAAAAAGCTAAAGGGTGGAATAATAAACAAATCACATCCATTTGAGTCACTACCATACCAAAGATGTTTTAAAAAATATTTAGTAGAACTATGCTTTATATTTCATTGTTGTTGTCAGCAGGGAAATCCATGCTAATTGAATGTATGTTTGCTTTAAATGAGATGTCTTGAATATGATTAGCAATGACAAATCTAATAACCTTTTGAAAAGAAAAAAATATTGTTTTGGATTCTAAGATGTCAGTATAGTTTTTGGTGGAAGAAGTCTTCTTGGTTCCTTAACTAAGCAAGCAGAAGTTTATTGTGTCTTAGGAAAAGGACACAAATTTTGCACAGGCACACATGCCTACTCCTGATCCTTACAGGCTGAAACTGGAGCAGAAAGGGCTGCTCTGATGAAGTCATTGAGTCAAAAGTTCAGAAATAACTGAGACCTTCTACCTACTGCTCCATTGAACACTCACAGCAGGAAAATCAGAAAGGAAGAATATAGCAGAAAAATATATTTATGTTTATTGTGTGTTTGTAAGACAGGCTTTTGGTTTTATGATGATAAAATGACAAATGACAAATGACTCATGTTTTGAGGTTCAACTCTAATATATTATAGCTGTATTCAGTCTAAAAATCAATAGCAAGTTAATGGTATTTAAAAGCTCCTACGTTTTCATACTTACAGTTTCACCTTTTTTCCCAGGTGTTACTTGGAAGATGTAGCTTCAAAAGGTGCCTGGCTGAATCGGTCGAGTATCATTTTTGCTGGAAGTGATAAGTGGTCAGTAGATCCTCGAGTTTCAATCGCAACAGCAAATAGAAGAGAATATAGCCTGCAGATACAGGACGTAGATGTGACAGATGATGGTCCATACACTTGTTCTGTGCAAACTCAACACACTCCTAGAACGATGCAGGTGCACTTAACTGTACAAGGTATGTGTTTAAACCAATTGGAAATCGTTATTGGAGATGTACTAGAAAAAACTAGTTTATAGATGGGAAATGTCAGCTAAGCACATTTTAAAGCTTTTTTCTTTCTTTCTTTCTTTGTTCTTGGATGTATGTAGCTATGGACTGTATGTGCCATTGGCTCTGAGCCCCTCCAAATAGAGAATTAGCCCAGAAGGATCTCCAACTTGCCAAAATCAGGTTTAAATCCTCACTCCTGCTCTGCTGACAATTGAACAAGATGTAGAAATGTAAGAGGAGAATACCAGTACAATAGTCAAGGTACAGTTCCCTACAGTGGTACTCTGCAGGTATCTGTCAGTTTGGTATAGGTCTCCTGCACGACTCAAAACTTGGTTGTTTTGCATGGTATTCACCTAGTCACCATGTAAAGGTGCATAATCAGGTGCTGAGTTCACAGAAGGTTCACAGCCTTTGCATTTTAACATTGACACCAACTATTGCCAGAAACATCTTTGTTTCCTTTACGATGTCAAGATGTGTTCAGAAATAGCCAGTGCCGCTACTGCAACATGCCGTGGAAGGGTCACCGCATATCAGGACCCGACTGTCCTTGGGGACGGAACAAGGCCACAAGACATGCTTTGATGATCATGTAATAAAAGTGTCACATAAAAGACAGCTGATGGATGCAGTGAGACAGACGCCAGAGCAGAGTCTGCACAGATGTGCAGGTGGCACGGCCATCAGCTGTGCTGGCACCCCAACAGCCCGGCTCCAAATTTCCTACAGGGTTATTTTGATGAGAGTTTTAATGGAGGAAAATGAATTGGTTTGTGGGCGCCTTCAGAAGCAGTTCCTCGAGGGCAGCCTGGGAGAAAGTGCAAAAATGCTTCATCCTGCAGTGCTCCCACATTGACGGGCAGGGCGGCAGGTCACTCCTCAGAAAGCTCATCCTCTTCCCAGCACAGCTCAGCTGCAAGGAAGGATTCACCAGGGTGTTTTATACCCCATCAGCAGCCACACAGCCCCAAAGGTCTTCTTTCTGTTCCCATAGCACTCAGCTTACCTGCCCCCATGGATGTGTCCTACCCCCATGAAGCTTTAAGTATGAAGTTTTCTGTAAATTTTATTGGCATTTAAAAGATGCAGTATTTCATTTGAGCATCTCAAATGTCTTCTCAGGTGTGTGCCATGACAAGCATTGTTATAAAAACAAGAATTAAGTCATCAGCTTAAAAAAAGCAAAATTAGAATGACTAAAGCAATTTTTCAAACGTAGAAATTCTATTAGATTTAGAAATTTAATAGAAATTCATTAAAATAAAAATAAACAAGTGAAGACAAAATAAGCTGATTTTGCATTAAAATCCATAGGTTTTGTTTCTTCCAGACCAGTTTTCTCACAGAAATACTAAGATCCCAATATTGTTAATAAGAACAGTCCATTTATTTCTGTGAGACAGTTTTCTGTTATAAGTGCTGCAGAACAACAGTGGCAGTTTTACACGCATGGAGGTAATATTTATTGTATTATTCCAGGGTGAACAATTCTTAGCTTTGATTGTCTTTATAATAGTTAATGCCCTCATGCAAGGGGCTAAAAAAAAGTTGGAAATCAATTGCATGTATAAAACATATAAAGAAGAGCTTAAAGTTAATTAGGCTAACTACAAGTATATAGAGAAATAATAACTCAACAGTTAAAAATATGCATAATTATTAAGCAATTGCATTTATATCTTCAGAAATGCAAAGTATAACCTAAGGCTTTAACTTATTAGTCTTTGGTGTAATCGTCATTAACATTTTCTTTTGCATTTTTATGGGTAATAAAACAATGAATATAAACCAGAAAAATTTAAATGGCAATCTCTATTAATCCATATGGCACGCCAAAATCCCTTACAAATAACGTGTATGAAATGCTTCTCAAACTAATTATCCTTAACCACTGGACCTTTAGACCCCAATGGTTTGTAAGAATGTTAGACTGTAGCTCTGTAAGAGCTAAGGGTATCAGTTGTAAAAAGAACATTATTTTATTATTACAGCCAAAAAGCCATCATTTAGTCATTTTTATAACCTTCCTCAGAGGCAGCTGTTGTGTGAAGACCTGTAAAAGTACTGTTTACATGGGGGGTTGTTCACGGATTGCAGACGTATTTGTATGTTATCGGATTGGGAAACTGGAATGAAGCAGCTGTGACAATATTAATTATTATTTAAATTGTATATATATATATATATATTCAGTTACTCCAATATTATTTCAGTTATATTTTATGTAGGAATTAGGGACAAGCTTCATGAAGCATAGCCAGAAAAAGTGAGCCATTTTCAAGATAGAGTTAAAAAAAATCATTGTCCCTGTATTTTTTCCTGCGTAGTTCTCTTAGCACTTAGCAAGAAGGGAAAGCTGCTGAGCTCCCTGCTTGTAGAGAGAGGTCCTGCATCCGCTGAGTGGCACAGCGAGATCAGCAGCTCTGGAGGATGACCCATCCCATCCCAGTGATGATTGTGGCCATTTCTTTCCATTCCAGCTCATATTTTTATGTACATATTACTATAGATATTACTAATTATCAGCCGTGCCATGGATGCTCAGTGGATCGGATGTGAGTCACACTAATTGCTCATCCCACATGGGTGGGATCCCACCTTGAATCAACGTTGGGTTTTGCACGGTAATTTAGAGAGACCTGCATCATACTTACTACTGTCGTTATCTGTCCAGTGGACCTGAATGGGACTTGTGCATGTAAGCACTTTTAATCATGTTGCTTCGAACATACATTGCTAATAAAGCCATCGCTTCCCATTCCGTGTGCTGAGACTCAGGAGGTAAGGATGCAAGATTCATGCATCCTTTGAGATGGAGATTGACCTGTCTGAAAGTAACCGAAACTGTAAAGGAAACATCAAACAGCTAATTGGTGCTATAAGCTTATATATCCTTTTCTGATGAATAGGGTTTGTAGGGATGATATAATAACATTTTATGGAAGCAGTTTTATGTTTCCTTTTAATATTGTTCATGGCTTTGTATTTCAAGATTAGAAACAACTTCTGCTGTTGGGGAGAAATAAATGAAAGGAAAAGCAGGTCTTTTGCCAAAGTAAAATCATTCAGTCAAAGGGCTGTGTTTCCTTTCACATTGTGAATAAATGATCAGCAGCAGACCTAGAGTAGCACATGAAATAGCAGGAGAAAAAGAAAATTTAAAAGCAAAGTCTTAGCCCTTTAAAATTCCTCTGCCCAACAGGCTGTATTCTGTCAAGTAACATTGAAAGATCTGCTGAAAACAGCAGAGCTGGAAGAACCAGGGGTGTGTGCATTGTGTGACAAATTAAATGAATAAAGACTTACGTCTGATCATAAGCTCCCAAATAGGTTCAAACTCCAGATTGCAAAATTATTTGCTGTGAAACTCCACTTTAAAAGCCATGTAAATCCAACTCTCTTTCTTTTTTTCTTTTTTTTTGGTGTGTGTGTGAGGTCTTTCTATACACACAGATCCAGTAACTGTCACTTTGAATATCCTCTTCTCTGCTATTTGGGCTGCCAATTTCTGAACATATTCATGTAAGTGTTTCAGAGAATAAATACATTTTAATGGGTTAAAGATGCCTGAATTTCCATGAGTAAAACATAGAAAGGTAACATGATCAGTAAATAACCAAGGCTGAAAGGAAGCAGCAGCCTCTCCATCACTGTCCCATGCACGAATACAGGGAGCAGCGAGACCTAGTGGGGTTTGGCCACAGTCAATCAGGAATCTCTGGTAAAGCTTGAAGTTGAGTTTCAGTCTCCCAAATCCCTGCTTGATGCCTTAATGAGACCACCAGGTCAAGTCTAGATCACTGTTACTTATTACATAGTTACACCTTTTTGTACCAAGAAAATTAATCAAGATAGTTAATAAAAAAAAAAAAGCCTAATGCGTCTTTAGCCCACATTTACATCAGTGAAAGAAAAATCACATGAAAGAGAGGAAGATAATTCAGTTAATTTTATTTCAGTGACCTTACTAAAAAGAAGTGAGAATTATGAAGTAATTAATTAAAAGTTTAGAAGGTAGGAGTTTGTAATTGACTCAGTCTACCTCAGTGCCAGATGCTTGATCTGCAAAGTCATGAACCGCAGATGATTTAAACATCAGATGTTTGCCACAGTAAGTAAAAAAATGAAATACCTCTTACCACACTATATTGCTCATAATTTTCCTAGCAAAAGGTTGCAATTTTTGCCATTTCTAATCTGACATTTTTTCTACCAAAGTTTAAATTGCATCCTCCAAGCTGTGTTTTCCTTTCAATTTGCAAAAATATTAAGACATGTTTACCAATGTCCTTGAGAATTAATTTTGCTGCGGGACAGAGTGACAGGTCACAGCCCAAAGTCTCCGGTTATCTCCGTGTGTCAGGTCACAGTAATGATGCTATTGCACCATGTGGGGAAAGGGCAGGCCAGGCTTCTTGTTTGTGACTCCAGGGAGATAGAGGCCAGAACAGGGTGTTCAAAAGGACCTCAGCCACCAAGGGAGGGCTACCAGGATGATTAGGAGAATAAAGAACACATCTGAAAGAGATTGCTTTGTTTAACCTAGCGAAATGAGGGCTCAGGGAGAATTTTGTTATGCTTTATTAATACACTTGGTGTGGGTCCCAGGAAAAGAGAACAAACATACCGGCTAAGGGAGAACACTTTTACAAGACTAGGCAAATATAACTTAGCCATGTGTGAATTTTAATATGAGATGAGGGGAAGGTGCTGGTCCCCATTGCGTTGTGGGTGGGCTGTCCAGAGAGAGTGGCCAGGGTTTGGAACAGCAGTTCCTGCAGGGCCTGGTGGGGCAGAAATGACCATGATGCTGGTGAACAAGGTTTGTGACCGTGGTCTTCCTAACGATGGGATTAAGGATCTGACAGCTCTGTTTGTCTCCTTGAATGTGAACGAGGAACCTGGCGATGCTCCTGGTGACAGCAGCGCCAGGATCCGCTGGCACAGTCTGGATTAAGGGG